AGGAATGCCTCTCCTGCACGGTCTTGCCTCCTGCCCCTGTTAGGTTTGTCTGGATTGCACTGCCTCTTCCTGCCAGATCTTGTAAATACAATTCATATGTTACAGCTGACTCAGAACAACAAGACTTAAATGACAGTAAGTCTTGCAGTGCTATAATTTATATTTGACCCAGTTTACATGCTCTTTTTTCCTAATGTCACTCTAAATTCCACTTATCTACAGCATACCACATTTAGAGCTTTTTGTTCTCTGCAATCCTGAATGCCACTGCTGGTTCCAGCTCTCCAACCTAGCAGGGAAACCATGACTATTACACTGCTTTTCTGTTCTCTGGGAGAAGATTTACAGCAGTTAAAACCACAGAGAAACCACTGAGCAGCAAGACTCAGCCAGACAGATGTGGGAGGTAAACCCTGCAAGCTGCTGTGAAGGTCATTCACCCTCAGGGGACAGATGCAGATGGACTGCTTCAAAATATGAAAACATGTTCTTCATTTGTTTATGTATCATAAAACAGAAATTATTAAGGGCTAAACAGAAACACAGCCAAAAACACTAAATGACAGACATACAGTATCAAGCATCTGCCAGTGTTTTAAAAAATCACTGGGAGGCTGTTTTTTGAAATCTTATTAGGAAATAAGTGCATACTTTCAAAGAGCCATCATACAGTAGTTACAGACAGCTGAGATAGCTGCAATGTCTGCAACCTGATCTGTCATCTTTTAATTGAGAGCACTGTGTTTGGTGAGCTGAACAAAATAAGGAAAGCTTGCAGTAGAGCTGAGGATGCAACTGATGCTAATCCCCTTTGCAATTTCCTAAAGCTCAAAGTAATGTCATGAAATGTCTTGTTTTGTTCAACCAACAGTTCAAAATCCAAATATATTCGTTTTACCATAATGTAAGAGAAGGAAAAGCAGCAACTTCACTCATTTGAGAAGCTGGAACCTAAAGAACATTGACATTGGACATTTGGATTGATAATTACATGAACAGTAATCGAAAGAAACGAGTAATTGATTATCAAAATACTTTCCAATGTCAATGTTTTTGATCACCTGATCAATTAATCATCCAATTGTTGTAGATCTTCCTGGCACAGAACAGAACACAGAGCAGGATTGTGCCTTTTAAATGCTGCTCAGCCTGTGGTTGCATAACCAAAGTCACATTTGTTTAAACACAGCTGAACTATATTTACCTTATATTATGTCTTTACTATGTTCTGCACATGTGATTCTATGAGGACCAGAATAACTGGGTGCACGTTGTGTCACTGCCCTTTACTGCTTCCCTGGGAAAACCTTTAATTCAAGGAATTAGTGGAATCTATGATAATCCCTGAGGCACAACACACAGCAAGAACATACAAGTTCAGAGTTATTATAAAGGTATTTTCCCCACTTAAATGCATATTTGTACACATTATGCAGATTGAAAATTATAACTTCTTTAACCTTTGAGGAAGAAATGAACTCACAGGGAGAACTATCTCATGGAGTAAAAAACTATCTGAAATAACTGCAGTGAAACCTGAAATTATCAAGAAAGAGTTGTTTAAAAATAAATGCAAGTTTGTTTGGTAGAACATTGCCATACTAACCATACAATCATATTAATCATACTACAGTACTGAGCACCATCCGCCCCCGCCTCTCCCACTAATCACTACTGAGGCTACAGGCTGAGTAGCAGCGGAGACCTTTTCCCAGACCCAGTTGGCCAGCCCTACAAAACTCACAGAAGCAGGAAACAGAGGTAAAGCAGTTCCACATGGTCGATGTATTTAGAGCACAGACCTGTGTTATGGTAACCTCCCCTGGCTCTGACACCTCACACCCAAACACGCTTCCTCTATAGGTCAGAGGAGGGGGATTAATGGAGAGCAAGACAAGAAGGGGAAGAGGTGGCAAATGTACAAGGGGTGGCAAAAGTGCAAAGTGAACTCCAGTTCAAGCTTGTTTCAAATGGCAAGCATTCAGGATTTAGAGCAAAAACTGTGTCACAGTAATCTTCTGTTTTTATTCAAATGGAGAACAAAGTCCTAGTTAGTATCCTTACAAGTTGTCTTTGTTTGTTGAGCGCAGACACCACATAGGATCTGTATATGGTCTTTTAAGGATCACAAGTAATACCATAACCACAGTGTACGAGCAGATCCTTGTAGGCTGTGTTGCACAGTCACACAGGGTTCGGATGGGCTTCTCTGTAGCACAAGTTAATCTGTAGCACTGCACCACCTGCTGTTCTGTGCTCAGACTCATTTGGACATTTAACATTAAGCAAAACAAACTGGAGATGACACAGAGGTGTGATAACAGAATACCAAAGAATCTGCCTAAAACTTCATCCTTATACAAATCCCAAATCAAACCTTAATCTGATGTATTAATGTATTAATTCTGTTAAACTGAATATGTGGACAAGATGAACAGCAGCAGAAATTAGCTGAGTCTTTTCTGCACAGGCCCAGATTGACCGTACACATACTGTATCCGCCTGCATGCTTTGTTGATGAGTCCACCACAGCCCTGGGACCTCTGGCTGAAGGCCATGATCTGAATCAGTGCTGGGGAACTCTTTTTCAATATTTATTTAATAAAACAATAATTCGCTAGCAGGGACCTACCCTCACTGAGTACAAACGGAACTGGCTGTTTGTTCACTTGATGGTTTTGGGGAAGGTAAAGGAGGTCTAAGCCGCTCTCGGGCACTGGCAGACCCCCAGCCGGGATAGAAGAATAGAGGGAAATAATTACAATAGAATAAAAAGTAATGGGTGGGTAATGAAAAGCGGAAGCAGAAGTATGGTGGTTTCAGTGGGTTTAAATAGTGTGAAAACAGAAGAGGCATAATTCATTGTAACAGGTGGAGTAATATAGATTTTGCTCCAGATGTGCACCTTCTGAACTCCCTGAATGCAGAAATGGGATATCCAGTCAAGGTTTTGCAGACTGCCAAATGAATGTAGGTCAAAGACATGTTCCAATAAACACATGTCCAGCTTGTCAGGGTGACCCAGAAAGCTGACAGGCAGCAAACAGCAGGGTAGACTCTTGGAACCACAAACTGCTCTGCACTGTTTGGCCTGATTTATCAACACTGAGAAGAAATCCAAAAATATAAATATGCACCACTCATATTCCTAATGTTGGTCATGTTTGACTCAACACATGCCTGTTAAGTTTGATTTGAATTGTGTGTGCCTGGATTAGTTTATTTACATGAACATTTAAACATATAAATTTTGCAGTTAAAAAAAGGGAAAAGGTCCGTTTTTGTCTTTACTTATTTGTACTTATGTAGACCTTCCTCTTTCCATCAGTTTGGCCCATGAAATAGTTATTTATCCTTGTTTCATTCAGCCTTTTACACATTGGTTTAGTCAGAGAACAGAACAGTCTGGGCTTGTCTGAATTCAGCTTGATACACCTGTATGAAGAGCACTTAAAAACAATATCTGGAGGTGGAACATTCATAATGCGCTTTACCAAGAAAATTTTTTGACAGAACCCCCTTTGTGCCCCTGTATGTTTGCATATAGGAGTGTTTGTGTGTGAGGGTGTCTATTTGTGTTCTTGTCTACTGTATGTGTGTGTTCACCAGCAGCCTTCTCTGATCAGCAAGTCGCTGTTACTGTGCCAGTAACAACATGCATGGCATGCTTAGAGAAAGTGGTTAGATTGCTGCTGCAGAAGACAGACAATGCGCCTTGGGGAAGGAGAAAGGATCATATTCAGAGCTGTTCACTACTGATGGATTAGTGGGTTTACAAGGACAAGTCCACCCTCTCATCCTTTAAGTGTGGAAATTATTGAAACACTGCAGTTTTTGGTGAATTGTTGTCACACTCATAAACCACGATGACAAAAGCTCACTGGTTTACTGCTTTAGTCACATTTAGTCAGAGAATGCATGACATTACAAAGACATAAAGCTGCATTAGACAAGATTTGCAGACAGAAATAAACTTTTTAAGCTTAATTCCAATTTGGAGTTGTCACTCAGTAGAACACCATGTCCACAGTAATTGAGAGAATATACTGTAGTTCTGCTCTGTTTGTCAGATTTGGGTATCTGTGACTTTTCAGTGTGCAGGAAGTGATTGATCAAAACTTAAACTTGCTCTGGCCAGTCATCTCTATTCAATGCATAGCCATTTTTTATTTTATTTTTATTTTATTCTCAGAGAGGCTTCTTCTCCCTGCCAGAGGGACACTATTTTATCGAACCCTTCCAGAATCCTCCAGATGAGCCTGCTGGGACTCCAGAACCCCACTTTGTCTACTCAAGAGTTACCACAGAAAATCACAGAAAAAAGCGTAGTCCTGAGTCCAGAGAGACACGCAGCCCCTGTGGAGTTCAAGGTGTGTATTTGGCTTTGTGTGTCTATGCATAGCATGCTGCAGGTGTTTGTGTAAATGGGCACACGTGAGCATTTTTCTCTGTCTGTGTCCATGTCAAGCAAGGACAAGCCACAAGTGTACTGCAAGTAATGTCTTCCATTATGCATGCTTTAGATGCTCCAAGTGACTCTCTCCAGGCGGAGAGGGAGAGGGAGGAATGGGAGAGGGAGCAGCGGAGGGGGCAGGATCAGGCTCAGTTCCGCTCCCGGCGCTCAGTCAGCAGAGAGCGATGGGTGGAGACCATGGTGGTGGCTGACTCCAGACTCATCGAATACCACGGGACCGATAGTGTGGAGTCATACATCTTCACCATCATGAACATGGTTAACATTTGAGTTTACCCTATACATTTGTCCTCATTCATGCTCGGTTTCTGCACAGGTGCCATATTTGTAGATACTTAGAAGTGAATGATGTTAATGTTTACAGGTGGCGGGGATCTTCCATGATGCGAGTATTGGGAACGCCATCCATGTCACTTTGGTGCGCCTAATTTTGCTACAGGAAGAAGAGGTAACTCTTAGCTACAAGAAGGCTTTTAAGAAATTTTCATTGGGTTTTATCAGTTTTGCTTTGACAGGGCAAACATTAAATGTGGCTCAAAGGGAGTACACATGCACATCTTTGAAATATTCCTCACAAGGACACGAAGAAAAGTGCTTCAGCATTTACTGTAGTTGTATATTATTTGAGCAGTCTTAACTGCTATCAGATCAGTGAACTTCAACACACCCTAAATGTGTGTATTTAGGATGGGTCACTGGTGGAAATCGTCACGGTCAAAAATGATTTCAAGCTGTTTTCCAAAGAGGGAACGATGTGCAGAATGATATTTCTAATTATGCTGCTTGTTTCAGAAAGAGCTGAAGATTGTTCACCATGCAGACACCACTTTGGCCAGTTTCTGTGCTTGGCAGAAAAACCTCAATCCCCAGAGTGACACACATCCAGCTCATCATGACCTGGCTCTGCTGGTTACCAGGCAAGTGACACACATCCACACATGTACAGGTCAGCAATTGCTAAATTATACACTCTATTATAATGAAAATGTGGCATGCACACAGATATTTGGCCTGTGTTCCCCCTCAGGAAAGACATTTGTGCTGGAATGAACCAGCCCTGTGAGACCCTGGGTCTGTCTCATCTGTCGGGAATGTGTCAACCTCACCGCAGCTGCAACATTAACGAGGATTCGGGGCTGCCTGTTGCCTTTACCATCGCTCATGAAATGGGCCACAGGTCGCTGTGTGTTTGTGTGTGTCTGTGTCACTGTTGTGATGACCTTTCTACGCAATGAGGACATTTTGGCCAGTCCTCACAATTTCAAGGGGCTGTTATAGTGTTAACACCTAGTTTTAGGGTTTAAGTTTAGATTAGGTAGGGTCTGGGTTGAGGGTTAGGCATTTTATCAGTGAGTATCCTAGCAACTTTACAAAGGCCAACATTTGTGTGTATGTATTTGTAAATGCTGATTAATGGGCCATGTGACATTTACTACAGAAGAATTTACAATTGTGCTGTTAAATCTCCTTGCATTAGCATATCAGTCCATTAGTGAATTGGTTGTATGCAAATAATGGCTAGTTTCTAGTAACCTGACATAAAAAATTAAAAGATAGATACCTGAGAACGTTGTTGTGGAGTGGGTGTAGATCATTTTCTAACAGTGAAAGTGAATAGAAAGAGAAATTTGTTTTGAACATTGGGTTACTGTGGCACAGAAAAACATACTTTCTAATATTTCTACTCCAGAGCATTTTTGACTTGACACCTGATTATGAGGAGTGTGTGACTAAACCTGATGTAGGAGAAATAGAGTACAGCAGGAAATACAGAAGACCTAGGATTATGGAATGAAGACAAACAGGCAAATCAGTAAACTTTTCCTGATGAAACTTTTTTTGTGGAATGATAATGGCATAATGGTCAGATTGGTTGTGTTTGAATGCAGTTTTGGAATTCATCATGATGGCCAAGGGAATGACTGTGAGCACGGATGGAGGCACCCATTCATTATGTCCAGACAGCTGATGTATGACAGCTCGCCTCTCACTTGGTCCTCCTGCTCCAAAGACTACATCACACGCTTCCTCGAGTAAGGCCGATGTCCTACATTATTATGAAGCCATTACTGATAAAATAATAACATGATTCACTTTTTATGTGGGGGGCATAAGAGTTGTCTGCAAATTGTGTGAATTGCCAGTATTGTGAAGTTACTTTGGAAATAGTCATTTAAAACGACTCCCTCGGATGCAAACAAAGTGAATATGTTGGTGCAGATGTGAATGGAAAGTAGATGTTTTGTGTGTTGGAACAAAACAAAGTTATAAAAATAATAATGCATAGCAAACCACGACTTTTTAAAAGAGCAGCAACGATCATAAATGCAATACATGCTGAACAAATTCAGCTGAAACCAGGAAATCCAGCAACTAAGAGAAGGACTTGACCACCCAAAGAAAGGGTGGTCACAATTACGCAAATATCTCCAAATGGTTGCTTTGACTCCAGTCATTTTCTGTAGAAAACTGTATCAGTGATGAATTAAACAACAATCAACAATTTCGCCTTGAGCTCCTGCAGAGTCGGAGCTCATGGTTGTTGAATGCCGATCTGTGAAATGGCATATTATGCTGTTAGAATAGTTGCCCATTAACAAGTCATTTTCTGAGATTCTGGTATTTTCGCATCACCTTTTCTTATTTAATACAAGGCTAGAAGTGTCAGGGAGTGGTGTTTAATGCTCCCGTGAGATGTGGGGATGTGAACCCGATTAAAGAGCCAGCAGGCAGAGGCAAGGTGGATAGACTTTATTGTCGTCTTCAGGGAGCTCAGGCGGTCCACGGTCGAGGTCTACAGCAGTCCAACAGGTAGGGCAAGGTAGAACCTTTGGTCGGTAATACAGGCAGGGTCTCGATCTCAGAATAGCAGGCACTAGAAAAGAAAAGGCTGGAGAGTCTAGACAAGGCATAGAACAATCTGGTAGCTTCCCACTGGGTGAGAAGCTGCTATATGCTGTTGTAAGCAGGTGTGAGTAATTGAGGAGCAGGTGAAACCAATCTGGGTGATGAGATAAAGCTCCGGGAGTCAGGGTGAGCTAGGGACAGGAAGTAGTATCAGAATAAGAGCATGATACAGGAAGCAGACAGGACAGAATCATGACAAGAAGTGTACAAAGTCAGGCATCACTGTCAACCACCACACAGCCTTGTGCCCCTTTCTTTTTTTCATCTCTTTCAAAAGGTCACACATTCAATATCACGTCTCTGTTTGTCTGTTTGAGTCGTGGCTGGGGTTTCTGTCTGGATGACCGTCCCTCCAGGAGGGACCTGACCACCCCTCTGGCTCGCCTCGGTGTCCGCTACACCACACACCACCAGTGCCAGCTCCAGTATGGCCCAAACACTACCTTTTGCCCAGAGATTGATGTGAGTATTGTGCACTTAATCATAAACCTAAAATAGAGAGTAGGGAATTTTTTTAAAATAGTCTTTGTCTCATTGTTTTTTTTTTAATTGTCTTTATTTCAGAATGTTTGCCAGATTCTTTGGTGTTCAGTGAATGGCTCCTGTCGCTCCAAACTGGACTCACCTATAGATGGCACTCGCTGTGGACCAGAGAAGGTGGATGGTGCTCATTGCTTTGTTTTGTTAGGGTCTGGGTTTCATTTGCCTGGGGCAGGAGATGGTCAGCACAGTGCATATGAGGATGGTGCTGAGCCATAAGTATTATGTACAGTAAATGTGTCATATTACTAGTGTTATTTGAATGATCTTACTGGCATTTTTCTTCAGTGGTGTATCTCAGGACAGTGTGTGATTGTGGGTAAACTCCCAGAGACGGTGAATGGAGGCTGGGGACAGTGGAGCACCTGGTCTCATTGCTCCAGGACCTGTGGAACAGGTGTTCAGTCAGCAGAGAGGGAATGCGACAACCCTAAGTAAGAGCTGACTCTAGATCTGCCTCACACCTTCAAGTGCATGTGAACTCTTTTCTTGTCATTAAATGTTTCTTGCAGTTTATTGGTTTTCAACTGGCCAGTCTTCGTGAACCAAAACAGACCACCGGGTTGATTCAAAGTGTCCCACTGTTTTCCACAGACCGGAGTTTGGGGGCAAGTACTGCACTGGAGAAAGGAAGCGTTATCGCACTTGTAACACAAAACCCTGCCAGAAGAATAAACCAACTTTTCGAGAGATGCTGTGCAGCGAGTTTGACACCGTGCTCTACCACAATGAGCTCTACCAATGGGTTCCTGTGGCTAACCCATGTAAGTGGTCAAAGCCTCAAATATACAATTAGATATGACAGATAGAAACACATATGCTAGTAGCCTGTCTTCACACTTCCCTTTTCCATGAGATCAGTAGATGCAATTGTAGGCATCATCCAACAGGGGGCAGTATTTACACCGGAAAGCACTCAAGCAGTCAAGTTTCTGTCCTTGCTGGTGTGCTGTTTGCTGTATGTTTGTCAGTTCCTATATTCGAATCACTGCTATGCTCAGTCACTTTACATACAAAGGTAGTTAGTTTTACAAAGCAAAATGTAAAGTATGCCTTATCTTTCATTATTGAGACAATTTCAGTTGACATTTGTAGATTTGACTCATACTCAGCATTTCAGTGGAAATAGATCTTCTTTTCCCACTATCTCGCGATTTACAGTAAATCCCTGCGAGCTGCACTGTCGACCAGTCACTGAGTATTTTTCAGAGAAGATGCTTGACACTGTGACAGATGGAACACCGTGTTTCATGAACAACAAGTCCAGAAACATCTGCGTCAACGGAGCGTGCAAGGTAGTGTGGCTGGGTAAGAGACTAAAAGAGACTGGGGGGTTATAGTGGAACAGGGTATGCTGCAGTGCAACTACAGTGTAATAGAGGAAGGAGGTTTTCTGTTCAAACTCATGTTACTCTGTAAGGTGTCTCTGGTTGTGTTTTTATGTGTGTGTGGGTGTGTGTTAAAAAAACTTTACTCTGTAAGGTATCTGATTGTGTTTTTATGTGTGTGTGTTTTGTCTGTAGGAGGTAGGCTGTGACTATGGTATTGACTCCAATGCAGTGGAGGATCGCTGTGGAGTGTGTCTGGGTGATGGCATGAGCTGTGGGACCGTCTATAAGTCATTTGATGAAGAAGAAGGTTTTGGTGAGTTCAACACAAAGGATATTTGAGCAGCTAGAAAAAAAATTAAATGATCTAGAAGTAACAAATCATACAATTATAAAATTGAAGTAACACAAAACAGACAATCTAATGTGGAAAAGCTTTGATGTACATACCAGAGGAGGGTGAAAAAGTACACAAGTCAAATGTATGCCTACAGGCAGAAAGTCGTTTCAGGACAGGTCACTAGCATTACACCTTGTGGTTCTTTGTTGCTATGGCAGCCTTCTTGTCCACACTATGCAACTGTTTGTCCTGCTGTACTTGACTAATGTAATGTCTGTGTGTGTGTGTGCAGGCCCATGTTTGCATCTGTCTAAAGATGCAATTGGCTTTACACAATTTGTTTTGCATCCTGAAGGCAACTTCATCCAAGAAATAGACACAGAATGTACAATATAGTAGACCACATATACTGTAACACTGTTCCCAATCATAAACAACACAACATATAGTAACAGTCATACAAAATACATCCTCAGATATGGTATAAAGATACCAGACACATATGATGCATTTATGCCCACACTAGCTGGTTTAGTATCAGTATTAACTGTTTTAAGAGTATTAACTTGTTCTGTCTCAACTGTGGGCCTGTAAATCTCCTGTTAGAGGGCACCTGTTGGTATTCTCAAATTTTACACATGCAAAGAACCAGAAGAGATGCTAATAGTGAGTCTGAGCATGCTACGTGAGGTACTTGAAAATGGGTTTCTAAAAGTTGGCCAGTAATCTCTGAACAAATTCTGAGTTAGCTTGGTTTTAAGTTACACAGACAAACTGCAGTGCAGCATGACACTCTGAATAAAACAGAAACACAATCAGTCTACTGGCTGCTACAGATCTGAGCCTAGAAAGAAAGTAGATATGCTTCTGTATGTCCCTACAAAGAAATTCTATATGAATGTATCATAACACTCAGATATTTGTAGGAGGACATTTGTTTAATATCTACATAATGTATTGAAACTGGAAGTAGCTCACACACAGCACGAAGACTCTACTGACTGACTTATTTCAGTATTAATAATACCAGTATTTCTGTCACACCATTCAATTCGCCAGTCAGTATTAGGCTGGTGCATTCTAGGATCATCGCTGTCAGTCAGCGGAGACAGTAAGGTGGAATCATCCAGCCATTTCAGAAGAAACTGGTGGTGCAATCAGAAGTATAAAATGTAATAAATAGAGGTGAACTGACGCAGCTTTGAGGTGCTCCAGCATTGTTCTAATTGGAGATGATGTAGTGTTTACTTTAATCAAATTAATTTTGTTTGTGAGAGAAGAGTTATATCAGTAAAAAACAGTATGGGTTAAAGTGTAACTGAAGCATTTTAGACAAGAGTAAATCAGATGGAAAATCGAGAAAAACAGCTCTGGCACATGTTTTGGGTTTGTCCAGATGTTCTGAAATGAGATGCACAAGTGTAACAACTGGATCTTCCTTAGTGTGACCTTGTTTATAAGCAAACTAAAAGGAATCATGTGAGTGTCTTATTTCTTAGGCAACATGTGATTTTACTGTCTAGAATGAACATATCATGCACAGAGATTAATAGAAGAAGAGGCTCTAAAACAATAAAACGTCCCTCCTTTCTCCCCTCACTCTCTTTGTGTGTGTTTGCCCCACACAGCATTCTTTCCAGATAACAGGCCCAGATGTATAAGACTTCAAAAGGCCTAGACCAAGGGCAAACCTACCCCTCCTTGCACAGACACAGAAACACACACACCTTCCCACAAACATCATTAAACTCCAGAGACCCACTCATGGCTGTTTTCGTCTTCCCCCATCAGCACACAATAAAAAACAGACAGGGCAGTGCCCCCCACAATGAAGACTCACACATGTAAACTTATACCCACACATGCCAACCACCCCCCAAAACTGAGGCCACCCTCTCTTAAAGATCAGAGAGAAGCTGTGAAGCTGTGTGGTAGTCTGAATATGAGTGTGGCAGCAGCCATGGTGGGCCATCCATTACCTTGCTCTGACTCCCCTCCTGACTTTCCCAGGGTATGTGGACGTGGGCGTGATACCGGAGGGGGCGCGGGACATCCTGGTGAAGGAAGTGAAGGATGCAGGTAATTTCCTGGCTCTGAAAAGTGAGGCATCAGAGGAGTACTTCCTCAATGGCAACTACATCATCCAGTGGAGTGGGGAGTACGAGGCCGGTGGGACGACATTCTACTACGAACGCAGCGGGAACATGGAGAACCTCACTGCTTCTGGACCCACCAATCAGCCAATCATGCTCCAGGTAGGCCATCATACTACAGAGGTTGGATGTGTTCAAAGGGAGTGGAAGGAATTTATTTTCACAGTTTGAAATATTTTAGTATTGTGAGATGTATAGAAGAAATCAGGAAATTATATATATATTTCCCCATTGTCCCAGAATAAAATAATAATAAAATGTCTCTAAGCAGTTTTTTGTCACATGTAGACCTGTTTCAAAGACAGACTGTAATCACATTGATGTGAATGTAAAAAAAGTCTTTATATTTGTTCCATATCTTGACTGTTGAGAGGATACTCTGCATAATATTTCATGCGGCTGTCTAGTTGCTGTTTCAGGAGAAGAACCCAGGTATAAAGTATGAGTACACCATTAAGAAGACAAAAGAGACAGAAAATGAGACCATCAAACCCATTTACAGTTGGAGACATGGGGCGTGGACATACTGCAGCGCCACCTGTGGCTTAGGTTGGCATTTGACAAGAAAGTTCTAGATCTATAAATGTATGATAAAGGATTTCAGTGACTGATTAGTTATGACCTGTTGGCCTTCTGCTTTCTGACTTGTTTTAGGTGAACAGCACCAGCCTGTGCGTTGTTTTGAGATGGACGTAGGCGTAGTAGATGAGTCTCTGTGTGACCCAGACAGCCGTCCCGAAGACAGACACAGGAAATGCAAGAATATGGATTGTCCTGCAAGGTCCTTAATTTATAATGTCCTTTAACCATTTTTTTCTGTCATTGTCAGTACTATTATGACCTTAAAACATATTTTGATTTTAATTATATACACAGTTATTTCACTGAAGTTATAATATTTGAGAGGCCCCACATTATCTAACTGGTTACTGTATACACCTACATATTAAGAGTGAAACTAAAAATCATTTCACTGCCTGATCTACATTGCTCAATCAGTCACGAGAGAGATATTATGTTCTCTCCCCTTGCCTCTGGGTTTCACTGTAATGACAAACAGCAAAGATTCAGTCAGTGAGACTAATTATTTCAATCACTGATATTTGGATTCGGATTTGGAACCTCATTACATTTTCGGTAAGAACTGAAATGTGTTTGTAGAAGGTATCTAAATTTGGCTCTGATGGCCTGACCAGATCTGTGGTCTTGTTTACTCATTCTTTGATCACATACAGTACATGTAGTTCCTGATTTAATCAGCATTTTGCTAATATTGTTTTTCACTTTATTTGCTTGGGTTTTGTCATTTCACATTTTCCAAATTTGAAAATTAGAAAAAGATGTTTTCCCTAAAGAGAGACATTGTAAAACTGCATTGTTTGAACATAAGGTGGCAGCTCAGGTAATGAATTGGCAATAATATCGAACGTTTTAAATGATACCCACAACTATTCATTGTTTGAAAAGATGTTAATGTTGTCCACTTACCATGCAGTCTATCTGTGAACACCATCCTATCATCCAATCTTCTTCTTTTGTCACCCTCTTTTACTCTCTAAAGGTGGTGGGTGGGGGGCTGGCAGCAGTGTACAGCCACCTGTGGATCAGATGGGGTGAGGAAGCGAACAGTGCTCTGTGTTCGTACAGTATCAGGGGAAGAAAGGGTACTGCACCCTGTGGAGTGCAAGCATCTCATGAAACCCAAGCCTGTGGTGCTGTGTAACAGAGATGTACCCTGTGCACAAGACTGGGCTGTTGGCACCTGGGAAGAGGTACTGTAATCCCTTTTCTCAGATTTTTATTTTATTTTCTTCTCCTTCAGGTTCAAAATTCACAGACTATCCTTGCATTTATCTACTTGAGCCCAATACCTTCCTTTATTTCTGAGTTAATGTTTTGTTTGTGTTTTTTAATCTTTGCAGTGCCCAGTCACATGTGGAGGAGGGGTTCGCTCACGCACAGTCACATGTGCACTAGCACCCAAAAAGACCTGTGACCTCTCAACCAAACCTCGGGCCAGATCACTGTGTGCCCTACAGAGCTGTCCTAAGTCAAATCTACGCAGACAACCCAGGCCTCCCCCTACATACCGCCGTGTTTACCCACCTAAGAACCAACCCACAGCCACAGCTCCGCCCACAGCTGCTGTCACCACCACATCCTTTTCACCTGAAACCACTGTTCCTGAAATCATAGATGCAGATGATTATGAGTTCAGTGTTATAGTGAGGAAAAACAGGGATAAGAATGGGAGAGTTTTCCCTAATAAATTCAGTTCTGCTGAAAAGGAAAGGAAGGCGACTGATGTGGACAAGGAAAAGATAGAAGAGGGGGAGGAAGGAGAGGAGGGGAGTACACCAGATGTGGTGAGGTACACTCCAGGATATGATTATGTTGTTGAGGACAGGACTAAAGAGGAGGAGGAAGAGACTCTTGACCTGGATGTTTTTACCACAGCTACTTCACTCAAAAATCCTCTTAAATCAACCACAACACTACCACATATCACACCTACTTTACAAACAGATCCACCTACCATGCGCACAACCAGCAGAGCCCGCACCACAACTGCCTACACTAACACACACGCCAGCACTGAAATGTGGGCAGAGACCACCCACCATTCATCCAGCCCCAACACCACACTTCACATCAGTCCATACAGCCCCTGGACACACAGGGTTCCCCTCACCACCCCCACATACAAGAAACACTCAGTCCCATTGAAAACTGGCTTCCGTACAACACAATCTCCTTCCACAACAGGGAGAACACTATTCACCACTGTAGCATCATCCCAGCCCACGGTAAAGATTATAAAACTGAAGAAGCCTGCTGCGACACCCAAGAAAAACAGTTCTGTCTCCCATGCTAAAAAGCCCACTCCCCAGTCCAAAGGCAGTCACTCCGAGAGCCAAAACCAGCGATCACAAAGTCCAGTGAGCAGCTCTGCTGGTGACCAAAGCAACTTGATGGTCAGAGAGCCAGTCAGCATGGATATATTCTGGGTTGTAGGAAACTGGAGTGAGGTGGGTACAGACAATTTATGATCATATTATTCTACTATCCAAAGTATAAAAGGAAGCAGAATTCTGGCTAGTTATCTGGTGAACTATCTGAAATGTTTGATGAGTTATTTTAAAAGTCTGGTTGCTACAACAGCAGTTTAAATGCTAGTACTAGTGACTGTTTGGTAACCATCAGTCTAAATTAGCCTCAGTAGATGATGGGTTGTGTTGGGTGTGTGGGTGCAGGCAAAAAGGGTGGGGTGGTTCTGGGATGCTGGAACACACTATTGAGTCTTCTCAGTGTCGTGGGCCCAACTCAGTAAAACACTAGCTGGTGAGAGGGTGCCAACCTGGTGACCCTGTAGATCTGCCTTCACTCCTACACCCACACAGAACTTGTGTTGATGATAATGTAGTTAGACTCATTGGAATTGTTAATAGTGTTCTTACAAAGAAGCTAGTCCAGCCACTGCTTAACCTGAACAAATACAATGCAGATGCTGTGTGTCAAGACACATATCTGCTCTTTGCTTGGGTGAGGACAGGATTCAGGGATGCTTTGTGTTAAGGGTAGGTTAAGTCTAGAAAATGGTGTTGCTTATTGTGTGGCTCTGAGAATTTATGATGGCGTGGCCTGACACCTCCCTCTTTGGGGCCAAATAATGGGTAAACATCGTTTAATTCGTATACAGAGCTTCCATATGAATGATCTCTTATTCTTTGGTACTTTTAATTTTGAATTATTGACTGATTTCTACCGTCTGAAGCACAGTACCAGTACATTTGCATGTCGACATTGAACTACAGACTTGATACTACGAAACAAAGGCATAACCTATTATTATATTTTTAGACTCTTTTCTTCCCCTTCATGCATGTTATATGTTGATACTGCTATGAACATTTCTAGTAGTTATTGCTGACATTCCTAAAACATTTACTTTGTAATATGATTGCCTCACATGTCACAACAGTTTGTCACTCACCCTTAAACCCAAGCCAGGTTTTAATCAGAAAATACTCCTCTGTCCTCAGTGCTCAACAACGTGTGGGATTGGCGCAATATGGCGAACAGTCATGTGTAGCTCTCGAAATGATGAGGACTGTGCCAACATGAAGAGACCTGAGCCTGCACGTACATGTCACCTGCAGCCCTGTGCCATATGGCAAAGTGGCAGCTGGAGCAAGGTGGGTGATGTTAAATTTCTTCCAGTCACTGAATCCAGTAATTACACTGATCACTTGTTAATTACAGCAAAACCTGTAACTTTTCATGTATTTCTGTGCCATTTATTGCACTATGACATACACCACAGTGTCCAGATAAGTGTGCAGTGGTAGGAAGGAGGTTCCGTGATGTCCAGTGTGTCGATTCTCAGAGTAAACGTCCCCTCAGACCTTTCCACTGTCAAGCTGTGTCCAGCAGACCCCTCAGCACCTTAACCTGCCCACACAAGCCTTGTATGACCTGGACTACATCGGCCTGGGGACCTGTAGGAAAATTATACCCATCAAATCTCTGTACATTTTGGCATACATACATACAAGAGTGAAGCATCTTTATGTGAATGTATAAGTAGGTGGTTTTGGTCTTACCTTGAGCCATGCATGCCTTCCTTAAATCCTTGTGTTTTCCTCAGTGCTCTGGCAGCTGTGGTGATGGCATCAGGGAGCGACTGGTGTACTGCCCTGAGCCTCATCGTTGTAGCACCACACTGAGGCCAAACAGCACAGAACCGTGCAGTTTAAAGCCCTGCGCTCACTGGAAGACTGGGCACTGGGAGGAGGTCAGTCACACAAGGCTGAGATTTCCTTGAGGCATGAAGGATATTTCTAAATAATAATTAGGCTCCTTATTGTCATTGTAAAGGACTCAATGATGACTCTGTGTGTGTGTGTGTGTGTGACTTTGCATTGCTCTGTGAGTTGTGGTGGGGGTCAACAGCAACGTCAAGTCAGTTGTGTGAGTGAGCAGGATTTGGCTGTAATGCCGTACAGCTTCTGTGAGAAGCTTTCCATACCAGAAACACTCAGGAAATGCAACATGCAGGGATGCAAGACCAGTCGAGGTTTGAACACTATGCTCAGTCTTGTTTTGTTTTTACGACAAATCTCAATTAAAATCACTCAGAATAAACTTTAACTAACATATTATTCGTATTGCAATATTTCATGGCATTTCACTTCTGACTTATGTTGTTTCTTTTGCAGGTCCAGTTTGCAAGAAGAACAGCATGTCCTCACGCTTCTGTGAGAAGCTGAAGCTGTTGGGTCGCTGCTCCCTCAGGTCGATTCAAAGACAGTGCTGTGTCACCTGTGGGCCGTAGCCAGGGTTACACGTTCACACATATTACAATGGACACATCATAACTACAGCAGTACTTACTGTATCCTCATGCAGCACTGGGATAAAGCCATGCCGATCACAGACTGACACATTCAAACCAAAGTACTAATGGCACAACACTATAACATGTACTACATCTTGGTGAGCACAAACAAACATGGGCCAACTAGGATTAAGGTAACAAAAGTTTTTTTTTTTTACCTGTTTAGGTCTTTTTCAAATTTTAAACTTTGTTAAAAGCTTGTTAATAAGAACAATAAAAAGTCAAAACACTGATGATGAACACATATTTGGACCTGGATATTAACAAATGTTAGCACTTAATAGTCATAAATCCTATTGAGGTGAGCAGAAATGTTTAGCATAAGTATTTCTATTATTAAAATAAAATCTGTGAATTTTTAAACAGGTAAGTTTCTAATGCTTAAAGAGTGTGTAAAATCTGTCATAAAATGAATGTGATCAGACCCAGAACAAATAGTACAAAAACATTTAAAAGTAATATTACAAATTTATGAAATAATCAAGAAGCACAATTCAAAGTTACAAAAGCTCAATACAAGCTACTCAGTAAAACGTCAGTACTGTACTTATCTTCTTGGGCCTGAGGTGTTTTTAATAATTGAGGTGCTAGCAATTCACAGCTCAACAGTTATATTTTTATTTCAAAGTAAACTAGAAATATGCAGTAATATAAATAAAGTTTTTGTTTGACCTCTTTATTAAATTGTTAATAGTAATGATAATCTCTGTGTTTTTTACTCACATATTTTGCTTTGTTCTGCTTGAATTGTAGTTTTATTGTCAGAGCCTGCACTGTGTTTACATTATTCTGGGTCCAAGTTCCCACTTTAATCATTTCAGTAAAAATTAAATCAGCTGCAGCAGCTGCA